AACGCATGTCTTATGGACGCAGCTGTTTTGGAAATTTCCACTGAAGATTCCGAGGCGTTGAACAATTACGTAACAGTTGCACCCGAGTATATGAACAGTGAAGACTCGACTTGCTCGGCTGTGAACAGATTCAATTCGGCGTTTTATTCATTCGGCATTTTTGTCGTTGAGGAAAAAGCACTAATCTCGATCAAGGTAACTTTTTTACCTGGGCGCATTTATGGAAGTGGCGGAGGCCCGGCTCTCATGAATTCGACTCTCAAACCACCCAAAAGATTCCCTTTAGTACAATTTTTCCGTGAGGCGACAATTCGTAACAGGCGACAATTCGTAACAGGCGACAATTCGTAACAGGCGACAATTCGTAACAGGCGACAATTCGTAACAAGCGACAATTCGTAATAGTAGATTAAAAGGGAAATACTGATTCACGTGCAGTATTTATCTCGTGTTGGATGTTAGCGCAGCGGAGCAAGCGTATTCTATTTGCCAGGGCCTTGTTACGAAATGTCGCTTATTACAATTGTCGCCTGTTGCGAATTGTCACCTGTTACGAATTGTCGCCTGATCCGAATTGTCGCCTGATACGAATTGTCACCTGTAACGAATTGTCGCCCTACCAAATTTTTCGAAATAATTTTTTTTGGTTGACAAAGGTTTCTAAACAATTTTTTAATGAGCGTCTGTGATGCAAAAATATATTTTATTTGAAGGAGGCTGTGCCGGGAAAACTCAATTCATGGTCAAAACCTTGAAAAAATTGCCTTAAAACACCCTCATTTTAACCAGCACTTCCACTTCAAACCTGTACAAATTGATGCGAAAGTTGACCTTGAAAAACTTTTTATTGGTCAGTTTAAAATAGATGCCGTAAAATTGTATCAAAAGCGATGTACTAAATCGAATTCCCAAAAAAGTACATGTGCTGTCTGAAAAACTAAATTACTAGGTTTCCTTCCTTTTCAATCTCAAAAACTATTCTGATTATCAACAGTGTAACTTCCACCAAAATTTTAAAAATTTTATACATAAACAAATTGGCGGTGATTGTGGTGTTTCAAACAGTGTCTGATTTAAACAGCTCTTGTTGTTTAAAATGGGTATACTGGAAAACTTGAAATTGTCGAAGTTTGTTGTTGAAGCTCATTTTGTTCTTCTATGTGAATCCCTCACATCGAACAAGTCATTTTTTCTCTTCCCCTTTCTCTTACCAAATACAGCAAATGTACTAACAAAATTTTGGCTTGACAGCCCTTTTTGCTTTTGGGTTGAAAATTGCTTTTGGGTTGACAATTGATCATAAATAAAATATTTGGAGACAATTTTGTAAACTTAAGATCCTTTTTGTGAAATAAACTTTGAAGAAGAATTTTGACTTTTTGTATAAATCGGATGTTTTTTACAATTAAATAAACGATTTATGATCGTATTTTGACCATCGTATTTTTTGATTTCGGAATTTCCACGGATAATTATGCTTCGTTTTTTGTATTTGGTCTTTTACATATTTTTGACATTCGGGACAATATTGACTGGCTCATAACAATTCAATTTGGTTAATTTTTTGTAGACATGAGTCAAAGATAGACAAGCAAGGAACAATTGTTTCATTAAAATTCACGAGAACTATTGGCTATTTAGGCGGTAACATATTAACTCAGCTAAAGCTGAAACGCTCGGCATCATTTAAGCAAGGTGATTATCCCGCCTGAAACGCTCGGCTTTTTTTACGTAAGGCGATTTATCCCGCTTGAAAGGCTCAACTTTACTCACGCAAGGAGATAAAGAGGTTGCTTTCATGGTACTACAATTTTTTAGTACCCTCATAATTTTTGTTTCTGTTGTTCAGATCTAAAGAATATTAAAAGTATAGCAGTTATTTTTAGAATTCAATTGTGTTCAGTTTCATATGTAAAACTTGTTTTTGGCAAGGAAATGTCAGTGTACGTTGGTTTCTAAATTTCGATCAAAAAGAAAAAAGGAGCCATTAAAAACTCGAATGATTTTATTTCTATGCCCTTCAGTTACGTGCAAGATACTTTTTATTGTTCCGACTTTCGTATCAAAAGTAACGTAACGGAAGATTTGTGCTCGAGGTTGTTTTTTTTTCAGACAAATGGGAAAAGGAAATATTGAAAAAGTATGTATTTTCGACAGTTTCAACAATCAAGTATGAAAAATTGAACCGTACGAAATTAATACGACCAATTAGTTAGCCTTTATTGTTCAGACATTCCTAACGAAAGTGACGGAATATTTGTGCTCGGGGTGTTTTTTTTCAGACGAATTGCGACTTTTCAACTAGCCAATTTTGACGGAAATTTTTAAAATCATTCGAAAAGTATTGCTGTCCTGAGCGTATATTTCAAATAATATTTCACCTGTGATCTTTCTTCGTGAAGTTATGAGGGGTTGAGGGCTTAAATATTGCCATTTTGGCCAATTTGGGACTATTAACACGCGATTTATTTCGCGCTATTAACGCGTAAGCGGAGAATTAATCCGTCTTAAAAATCGTTTCAAATTGGTTGAAAGAAGCTTGTTCACCATAATTGATTTGTTAAAAGGAGCAAAATCTATCCTTTTGTACTTTATATGGCGTGTGGGGGACAATTTTCATAAAAAATCTCATATTTTTAGGAAAAAAATGTTTAATTTTTTTTAATTACATTTAATTTTCTTAATGTTATTACTGTTCCATAGACCCTAAAATGCAGTCGGAACACTCAGGGCTTCGCCCTGATACGAGCAGTCTTGTTCAATTATGTTTGCAGTGTTTTTCGCTGCTGCAACTTTCTGTGCTATTCGCACAGCAACCGTCTGCGTTTGCTAAATCATAATAGTTGTCAATGCAGCCGCTAGGCTAACTTCTCTTGCGAATAAAATGGTGCTTGAATTTTTTCCAAGATTTTAACTGAAATTACAATCTATGAAGTATGAAAAGTTCTAATCCTCAGCAGTAATTCAATAAATAGACCAATTGAATTTTTTTCGGACCGTATTTTTAGGTTGTGAGTGGAGTCCTGAAACTATCGGAAGAATCGACAATT